TCTCTCCAATGTATTCAGCTGCATAGAAGTAACATTTTGTCCAGTAGATGTTGTTGGCGGTTTTGCCTCGGGGTAGAGGTGCCTTAGATCTCATGACCAGATGTCGAATTGTTGATTCTGGTCTGTAGGCGATTCCGATCCCCAGTGGCTTTAATAGGTGGGAGACCGCTTCCGAGACGTCGTAGATGTATGGCAGCGTGCGCCATCGTTTCGGTTGTTCGGTCGCCGACTGCCGGTTTGGTTTGGACTGCCTGCCGCGTTCGATAAAATTTCGTAATTGTAATTCTAACTTTCGGTCGTGCGGATCGCTACATTGTGTTTCTGCCTGTTTGTATAACGTCCTCACACAACTGCGTTAGTGGCATGCCGGGTGCTTGCTATGATAGCTCAGGATTTGGCGCGTATTGGTGGCCTTCTTATACACCGTCGTGTTGAGGTACCCGTTGGGTTCTCGATGGACAAGAACATCTAGGAACGGTAATTGGCTGTCGGTTTCGCCCTCCATTGTGAACTCGATGCCGGAAAAAATTGAATTTAGGAGATTGTGAAATTCCTGGACCATTACCCGCTCAGTGATGCCGAAGGTTTAGTCAAAATATCGAGTCCAGAACATTGGTCTATAGTTTGGGGACACGAGTGTCTCTAGTGTTTGGAGAACTGCCTCTCCGATGAAGCCCGAGAGCGGCGAACCCATTGTCGTCCCCTTGACCTGTTCGTACTTTGTCCCTTAGAAGGTGAAGTAAGTCTTCAGGCAGGATTTTGAAAGTTGGACAAGATGTCTTGTTTCAACGGCTCGCCCGTCTCGTCGTACTGGCTCTCGAGCAGCTCGCTGACCGTCTCGACAGCCAGGTCTTGTGGAATCGAGGTAAAGAGAGAGAGGTGACGTCGAATGACACCATGACCTCGTCTTCGGTGAGTCGCATTCCCTTGAGGCGCTCCAGGGATTGGGTGGCTGAGCAGACCGTCGTGGCCGCGTCCGACGTCAGTGACCTCAGATTTCGGAAAAACAGTTTCGCCAGATTAAACGTTGGTGCACCGCGTAACAATAGGACTGGCCGGAGGGGAGCACCGGTTTTTTGTACCTTTGGTATGCCATAAAACCTGGCTGCGGGTGCGTCTGTGGGTTTGATCGCCAGTCGTACAGACCTGCTAATCGCGTTGCTGGTTTGCATTTCATTGAGCGTCTTGTCCAGCTGCGTCATCAGCTGCCTCATCGGTGCATCGTCGCATGGGAGGTAAGCCTGTCGGTCCACCAACAGGGCGTTGGCCTTCTGGAAATAGTCGGTCTTATCTAACACCACCGTGGAACGTCCTTTGTCTGCTGGGAGAATCACGATGCTGGTGTCAGCCCTCACTGTTTTCAGTGCATTCTCCTCTGCCCGAGTGATGATTGCGCGTGTTTTGTGCGCCATCACCAAGGTGGTTACCTGTTGCCGGATGAGATGTTTTGTCTCGTCAGATTCCCCGGTTTGTTTGAGAATCGATTCAACCGTGGCAACTAGATTGACCGGGTCTGCATCTCTGGTGTGGAAACCAGCTTCATGGCTGAGCACTTTTAGTTGTGCCGAAGTCAGTTGCTTGGAGGACATATTGTGCACCAGGACTTCGTTATCCTCCTGTGGCAAGGAGGATAGTGTTTTCAGCTTATCGCCAAGCTCGACATCTCTCGTCGTCCGGAGGTCTCTGGCCCGTTTGTTGATCACTTGTCGCAGAAGCGTGACTCCGTCTTCACCAATTAGATCGATGCACTGTATAACCGCCTAACTCAAAACTCTATTGTATTTTCACAGTCGAAGATGGCGGTCCTGGAGGATTGCCTGAATCATTCGCCTGCCATGATCTGTCACCCATCGTCTCGCCAGACTTGTGTTAATCAGTGGCCTGTAAGAAAAGCCCTTTGGAGGCATATGATAGTCAAGACATTTGTGGAGGAATTGGATTTGCGCGTACGTTGAAGACAAACGAAGGGCGAATACTTCCCAACGTCGTGCTGACTCAAGCGCTTCGCGCCCCAATATATTGCCGATAGAAGCAAATATGCGAGTCCCTGGACATAAATGAGAAGAAAGGGCGATCTCGGGAACCATAACTGTATTTTTCCTGACTGTCACCTACCCATAAGTATGGTGAGGCGCGGTACGACACTTATCTCCGACGACGGAAACTTGCCTGTTTTTGAAACTTCAGAAAAAATACAATTATGGTGCCCGAGATCACCCTTTCTTCTCATATATGTATATTTGTATAGCTTTAAAGGGAAGGCGTTCTTTGGGAAAACAAGGAGAGTTTACTGAATTATACGACGTGATGATTAACGCTGTCACCGCTAGAATGCCGGTTTATGACGAGTGTTACGCGGGGTGCTTCGACGCCATCCATCTAGTAAGCGTAAGCGCATAAGGTTTTGCAGTCTTCACCTACAAGTGCCTCGCGTAACAGTGCACAAACCGCACTAGTCCCAGACTCAAAGCTATAAACTGTTATTAATATTTCCTGAATTTCACAGTTAAAATTGGTGATTCCACAGAAAATGTGCTCCTCCAAGGTGTTATTGTGTTACCTACCTCCATTTACTGCGTTCTCTAACCGTATATTTTGCCTATATAAATGCTAAAACCCATCGATAACGTACTCTTGAAGTTATGTCTACGATTTACCATACATTCAAATTTCGCGCGAGAGACACTACGATTTTCCCTACGTGAAAGCAAATAATAAAGTCATGTTTAATAAGAGAGATTTCACATTGTCCTTGTGTAAGCGGCGGATTTTTGGTCCCTTAAGTACTGTTTTCTTTCTGCAGAAACACGTTAAGACTGCAAGTGTCAAAGCAAAGAAAACGGCTTGTACGTAAAGTTTGCGGAAGCCTTTCTTTAGTCCACAACTTCCCCAATATTTGCAGCCTATTACTTTATGTATTTACATGTATGGATGAGCCACGACATTTTAGAGTGAAGTACTACTTTACATGCTAGCCCGTAAATAAAAATGCGGAAAAGCGGACCAAAACACCGTCTTAAATGTG